TAAATTCCATCAGTTCTGCCTAAAAACAGTTTAAATTCCATCAGTTCTGCCTAAAAACAGTTTAAATTCCATCAGTTCTGCCTAAAAACAGTTTAAATTCCATCAGTTCTGCCTAAAAACAGTTTAAATTCCATCAGTTCTGCCTAAAAACAGTTTAAATTCCATCAGTTCTGCCTAAAAACAGTTTAAATTCCATCAGTTCTGCCTAAAAACAGTTTAAATTCCATCAGTTCTGCCTAAAAACAGTTTAAATTCCATCAGTTCTGCCTAAAAACAGTTTAAATTCCATCAGTTCTGCCTAAAAACAGTTTAAATTCCATCAGTTCTGCCTAAAAACAGTTTAAATTCCATCAGTTCTGCCTAAAAACAGTTTAAATTCCATCAGTTCTGCCTAAAAACAGTTTAAATTCCATCAGTTCTGCCTAAAAACAGTTTAAATTCCATCAGTTCTGCCTAAAAACAGTTTAAATTCCATCAGTTCTGCCTAAAAACAGTTTAAATTCCATCAGTTCTGCCTAAAAACAGTTTAAATTCCATCAGTTCTGCCTAAAAACAGTTTAAATTCCATCAGTTCTGCCTAAAAACAGTTTAAATTCCATCAGTTCTGCCTAAAAACAGTTTAAATTCCATCAGTTCTGCCTAAAAACAGTTTAAATTCCATCAGTTCTGCCTAAAAACAGTTTAAATTCCATCAGTTCTGCCTAAAAACAGTTTAAATTCCATCAGTTCTGCCTAAAAACAGTTTAAATTCCATCAGTTCTGCCTAAAAACAGTTTAAATTCCATCAGTTCTGCCTAAAAACAGTTTAAATTCCATCAGTTCTGCCTAAAAACAGTTTAAATTCCATCAGTTCTGCCTAAAAACAGTTTAAATTCCATCAGTTCTGCCTAAAAACAGTTTAAATTCCATCAGTTCTGCCTAAAAACAGTTTAAATTCCATCAGTTCTGCCTAAAAACAGTTTAAATTCCATCAGTTCTGCCTAAAAACAGTTTAAATTCCATCAGTTCTGCCTAAAAACAGTTTAAATTCCATCAGTTCTGCCTAAAAACAGTTTAAATTCCATCAGTTCTGCCTAAAAACAGTTTAAATTCCATCAGTTCTGCCTAAAAACAGTTTAAATTCCATCAGTTCTGCCTAAAAACAGTTTAAATTCCATCAGTTCTGCCTAAAAACAGTTTAAATTCCATCAGTTCTGCCTAAAAACAGTTTAAATTCCATCAGTTCTGCCTAAAAACAGTTTAAATTCCATCAGTTCTGCCTAAAAACAGTTTAAATTCCATCAGTTCTGCCTAAAAACAGTTTAAATTCCATCAGTTCTGCCTAAAAACAGTTTAAATTCCATCAGTTCTGCCTAAAAACAGTTTAAATTCCATCAGTTCTGCCTAAAAACAGTTTAAATTCCATCAGTTCTGCCTAAAAACAGTTTAAATTCCATCAGTTCTGCCTAAAAACAGTTTAAATTCCATCAGTTCTGCCTAAAAACAGTTTAAATTCCATCAGTTCTGCCTAAAAACAGTTTAAATTCCATCAGTTCTGCCTAAAAACAGTTTAAATTCCATCAGTTCTGCCTAAAAACAGTTTAAATTCCATCAGTTCTGCCTAAAAACAGTTTAAATTCCATCAGTTCTGCCTAAAAACAGTTTAAATTCCATCAGTTCTGCCTAAAAACAGTTTAAATTCCATCAGTTCTGCCTAAAAACAGTTTAAATTCCATCAGTTCTGCCTAAAAACAGTTTAAATTCCATCAGTTCTGCCTAAAAACAGTTTAAATTCCATCAGTTCTGCCTAAAAACAGTTTAAATTCCATCAGTTCTGCCTAAAAACAGTTTAAATTCCATCAGTTCTGCCTAAAAACAGTTTAAATTCCATCAGTTCTGCCTAAAAACAGTTTAAATTCCATCAGTTCTGCCTAAAAACAGTTTAAATTCCATCAGTTCTGCCTAAAAACAGTTTAAATTCCATCAGTTCTGCCTAAAAACAGTTTAAATTCCATCAGTTCTGCCTAAAAACAGTTTAAATTCCATCAGTTCTGCCTAAAAACAGTTTAAATTCCATCAGTTCTGCCTAAAAACAGTTTAAATTCCATCAGTTCTGCCTAAAAACAGTTTAAATTCCATCAGTTCTGCCTAAAAACAGTTTAAATTCCATCAGTTCTGCCTAAAAACAGTTTAAATTCCATCAGTTCTGCCTAAAAACAGTTTAAATTCCATCAGTTCTGCCTAAAAACAGTTTAAATTCCATCAGTTCTGCCTAAAAACAGTTTAAATTCCATCAGTTCTGCCTAAAAACAGTTTAAATTCCATCAGTTCTGCCTAAAAACAGTTTAAATTCCATCAGTTCTGCCTAAAAACAGTTTAAATTCCATCAGTTCTGCCTAAAAACAGTTTAAATTCCATCAGTTCTGCCTAAAAACAGTTTAAATTCCATCAGTTCTGCCTGAAACAGTTTAAATTCCATCAACCATTCTGGCCAGAACAGCCTTTTTATACTGAGATAAATTGTTAAAGTCCTCACCCGTCTGAGGCAAGAAAAGAACTTACTTGGGAGATATTCCTCACCCAAATTCACAATCGTTTGTTTGCAGAAATCAGTAACTTGGGGCGCAAGTTATCTACTCCAAACTAAGTCTGCTAGAATTTGTATTGCTAGCAGTGGCACGCTCGCACACCAAAGAAAGCTGACTTGTCAACCAGTTTATGGTTCTCAAGGCAGTGGGGAACTTTGCCCTTCCATCACAGGAGTGAACACCGAAACGGGCAAACAGTGTGTGTGTGTGTGTGTGTGAGAGAGAGAGAGAGAGAAAGAGAGAGAGAAGACAGAGGAAAAAAAAAAGGGGGCAAAATTGTAGCAATGGTCCCTGGACTAAGACCAAACTTTACTTTTCGTCCCTCATATTGCTAAATTGTTACGGGGGTACTTTAATTATGCCTCCACTTTTAGAAATCGTCATTTCCGTCATCTCAGTGAACTTTTCAGTTAAAAATGATGACTTGGCATAGGCAAAAAATTTTAAAAATAAATCTCCTCTCTCTTTCTCTCTCTCCAATTTCTTCTTTCCCCATTCTTCATAGGGGAAATTTCTTCGTCCCCCGACCACCCAACCCCAAAATTTCTTGTTCCCCCTAATTCCTCCCCCCACCCAACACCCAATTCATATATTATTTTTTAAGATTTGAGTAATCAAAACGTCATTCCCTCTGTTTAAAACTGGTCGTCCTTTTCATGACTGGAGCTGGATGACTAATTGGACGCATTTTCCTCACAAGATTTAATTGACCTAACAAAATATATAGGACTAGGGACAATATTAATATTCAAATATGGATATCGGATCTCTCCTCCCCCACACCCAGAATTGTTCTTCCCCCTCCAGCCCGATAACACACATCAGACCCCGCACCCAGATTTGTTCCCTCCCCAACCCGATTTCTCTCCCTCACACACATCAGAGCCCAAATCCTCCAACAAAACCAAATAAAATTATTATTTTTTTTAAAAAAAAAGCCTCAGAAAGAAAAAAAAAAAAAAAAAAGCCAATGGTGTCACTATTCAATCCAGCACAAGAAAAGACAAATATGCCCTCATTTTTAAAGGAAAAGTTGACTAAGATGGCGGAAATGATGATTTCTGAAAGTGAAAGCATAATTAAAGTATAACCGTAACAATTTAGCAATATAAATGACGAAAAGTAAAGTTTGGTCTTAGTCTAGGGACCATTGCTACAATTTACGCCCCAAAAAAAAAACAAAGAATGAGAAAGAGAGAAGAAATCATGATTTTACATTTTCTTTATTATTTTTTGGTATTGTCCTTGTAAAATGACATATTTACCCTTATAATTAACAAAAAATTGGATGGAAGTCTAAAATCTTGACGACATGTCCTAAATTGACTATTTAAAATAGTATGAGGGCTAAATTGGCTGAAAAAATAATTTGAGGTGGAGGTTTCGACAAGCGTGATAATTCAGGAGGGTATTTGGCAGTTTGCCCGTGTTATAAAAAACAACTCTCAGTCACTTCTCTCAATTTTGTATTGTTCGTTGTTTTTTTGTTACTTTTTCCTTCACTCTTTTTTGGAAAATGCTAAGCTTACCACATTTTTAATACCACAATAGTACCACCTCTTTAATAGATGTGGGTCCCTTTGTATTGGTGGGCTCCACCTCTATTAGAGAGGTGGTACAATTGTGGTATAAAAAATGTGGTAAGCCTAGCATTATTTTTTAAGTGGTTCGTATCCAGTTCTGCAAGTGCAACAAAGCTTTAGTGTTTATGCCTCTGTTTAAATTTTTTATAATATGCTACTGCTACGAATTGTACTTTTGGTTGTGTTTTTTCTTTCCACAGTTTCAGTTTCTGATTCCCACTTGGTTCTCACTGTATCAATTAGCATACCACAAAAATAAAAAAAATGGTTCTCATTGTTTATCTCCCATACTAAAATATATATATATATATATTTAGCACACCCTCAGAAAAATTCATGTTTCCGCCATTGGTTCTGCCCTTTCATTTGTCTTTTCAATCTATATTTTCTTCTCCTTTAGGGGCGTAAATTGTAGCAATGGTCCCTAGACTAAGACCAAACTTTACTTTTCGTCATTTATGTTGCTAAATTATTACGGTTGTACTTTAAGTATGCCTTCACTTCCAGAAATCATCATTTCCGTCATCTTAGTCAACTTTTCCGTTAAAAATGAGGGCATATTTGTCCTTCTTGTGCTGGATTGAATAGTGACGCCATTGTTTAATCTAATATCTGCTGACTGTACTACTACAGTTATTTTAATAAAAATAGTGTTTTCATCTTGTTTCCCTTTGTAGCAGCTCAAGTATGTTATATGAAAAACAAATAAGACATTTTTAATAGCGGTTTTGCTAAATCCAGAACAGTTAAGTTGAGGAATAATAGGCAATTTGAAATCGACCAACAGAGATCACGATTCAAATCAAATACACACAATTTTTAGATCAACACAATTCCATGCAGTGCAAAATAATCGAAATGCAACAATCTAATTATAGAATGAACAGTAAAAAAACTTCGGGGAACAAAACAAAAATCGACTATGGTTTAAGCCTCAGCACAATCTCGATATAATTTAAGCCTTGCACGATCTCGATATAATTTAAGCACTGTACTAACTACAGGCATACAAATTCAACAGTTGAAGGCAATTTTGTTTTAATGAGTTGCACAGCGTGCTCTCTTGCCTCTGCCTCATCAGAGAGTTCTTCACTACCCGGTTCACAGGGATACGCCCAACGTCGGAGAGGATCAATAACAATTTTCTCTAATGCAGTAGCACTCTTTATTAAGAACAAGATATGATCAACAGCAGATGCACGCGCACGATACCCGACTATTTCTACTACCTTGAGGTAATGATGGGGGCATTTCGCAGCTTTCTTTATTTTTTCTATGTCCTCCAGGGATACAATGAAATCCAACTGCGCCAAGAACAGAAAAAAACTGTTAAGACAAAACAAGAACCAGAAGGAATGAAGTCTATTAGCATGTTTCATCACACAGCATAATTTAACCTTGTTTGTTTTTGTTGTACTTTTCATTCTTCAGAATTGCTAATGGAACCAAAAGAAGATGAACAAAATCACCAAAAGTGCCCATACAAAGACTTACATATAGTTTTACCATGTAATCTACTGAGTACAAGCATATACCTTCAACACAAGTCTTTGCAAGAAAGGAGATGCTTTTAGAAAAGAAGTTAAATGATGAAGAGCCAGACGGTAATCCGCACGAACTATTAATTCCAAATGCTTGAGATTTGCCAGCATAGGAAACACATGTTTCGGATTATAATCCTGAAAACCAAACAAGGAACAATGAGCTACATAATCCATAAAAGAAGAAAAGAAAACCAACACATCATAATCACATATACTAACCACTCTAGTGATTGTCAGCATGAGAATCTCCAGTTGCGAAAGGCAGCATGAAAGTTGGCTAGAGAAAAGCTCTATGAATGCACGGGGGTTGGAAATGTAGGAAATGGACACCTCTACAAGCAATGGTACATTAGTGAGAAGCAGGTTTGTCACACTTCCGTCATATTTAAATGAAACAAGGTTTGCCTCACAAATCTCTATGCCTTGAAGGCCAAGACAAGCTCCTATAGCTAAATGCTTCAATGCAGCCGATGGACGAACAACTCTTAAATTAACCAAACTTTTTGTTCCGTACACAGTTACCCGTTCAAGAACTGCACAGTTGGACAAGAAGTATTCAAGAACTTCATCAGTAACATCAACCCATTGGAAATGAAGAACTTTGAGGGACTGAAATCCAACTTTGTATCCACAGGGGTGTAGACTTGGAATGTAAGAATACAAGCACTTCTTTTCGAGACCTAATAGTTTGTGGGGAAACGCATAGAAATTTAATGAAGCACTGTCCAATTGTGAAAAAAACTTCAACACGAGTGTTGTAACTCCCTTTTCAATTGCAAACTGAACCCATTTGTCAATGGAACTTGTAAACCGATCATTTAGTTGAAAGCAAACACTGAATTCCTCGATGTTTGGGCCTCTATGTCGTTCCACCACACGATTCACCCAATTGACATATCTAGCACTTTCCAGGTCTCTTAATTTTCGTTTGAGGGCTACGAAGCGGCAGATATTGCTACCAACATCAAAGTTAGCATCAAAGTTGAGAACCATAGTGGACATCCACACATACTGCCAACGTCTAGAAAGGATACTAGTAGCTGTGGCTTCCTTTAGTGGCAAGAGAGACAATATACTGACAAGAATTTCATCTGGCATCGCACTAATTCTGTCCAACAAGTTGTACACACCTTTTTTTCCCTCATTCTTTCCTTCACAACATCTGCGTCGCTTTCCCAAGTTGCGCTCGAACTTCTAATTTCATGATTCAATCACATTGTTATATTCAATTTACATAAAGAATAATAAACAAAACAATAATAATAACAATAATACCGACCAAAACACACCTATATACAAGAGAAAGAACAACGCATTAAAATTTTCTACAAGTTAGATATGGAGAAATAAAAAAGGACGCTACTTTTAAACCATTTAGATACCAGCGTAGCTGAAAAAAAAAAATTACAAGGGTTCCAATTTATACAAGTTTAATAATGGGAAATGAAAAGGATCCAACTTTCAAACCAATTAGATATTCCAGATGTAGAGAATGTGCAAGGATTGGATTAGTTCGGTTTTTCCCCAAAACAACAGCTCAACCGATTACATTACAACAGATTGGTTTGGTTCAGTTTTGACTAACATCTCAGGGGTAACCAAACCAAACAAAACCATTGGTGGTAGGTTTGATTTCGCAGGTTCGGGCCTAACCCAAATCCATTTTTACAGACCTGCTACTGACTTTCAAAACATAAAATGTCCAGTCAAACCCAACCTGCTTACAAGTACTAAGCATTCTATCAATTTAAAATTTTCAAAACATCAACATTTCATCAACCAATCCTAATTTCCAGCATATCAAACCTTCAATAACTCATCTAAGTTCCCTAATTTCCAGCATATCAAACCTTCAATAACTCATCTAAGTTCCCTAATTTCCAGCATATCAAACCTTCAATAACTCATCTACGTTCACTAATTTCCAGCATATCAAACCTTCAATAACTCATCTAAGTTCCCTAATTTCCAGCATATCAAACCTTCAATAACTCATCTAAGTTCACTAATTTCCAACACCTTAAACATTCACCAAGCATATCCAGCATATTCACAATTCAGCAAGAAGGAAACAGAAAATTAATTAGAGTGTGAGAGAGTAAAGACATTTACTGGTTAATCATCTCTCTTTAATTTCATGGTTTCATCACATTGTTAAATTTAACTTACATAAAGAATAATCAAAAGAAAACAATGAAAACAACAATAAAACCAACCAACACGCACCTATATACAAGTGAAAGAACAAAGTATGGAAATTTTCTACAAGTTAGATACGGAGAAATAAAAAGGATGTAACTTTTAAACCATTTAGAAATCTGGGTAACCAAATAAAAAAGATGCCAACTTTATACCGGTTTAACATCTTGGAAATCAAAAGGATGCAACCTTCAAACCAATTAGATATCAAAGATATACAGAATGTGCAATTTGTGGGTCATCTAAGTTCACTGAATTCCAACACATTAAAGATTCAGCAAGCATAGCCAGCGTATTCACTTTCGACAATTCAGTGAGCATGAAACAGAAAGTTAATAAGAGTATCAAGTTATCAGTCAGAACTCACCACCAAGTTGCATACTCCCTTTTCCCCTTCATTCTTTCCCAAGTACTCTCCTTCACTACGCCTGCGTCGCTTTCCCAAGTTGCGCTCATAATTCTAATAGAAGAATCAGCCCAGAAAAACGAACAAATTAAAAAATTTATATTAAAAAAAAAGAAAAAAAAAGCAAAGACAGGAATTTTACTGGTTAATCATCCCTCTTTAACTTCATGGTTTCATCACATTATTAAATTTAACTTACATATAGAATAATCAAAATAAAACAATCATAACTACAATAAAACCAACCAGAACGCACCTATATACAAGAGAAAGAACAAAGGATGAAAATTTTCTACAAGTTAGATATGGAGAAATAAAAAGGATGTAAATTTTAAACCATTTAGAAATCTGGGTAATTAAAAAATAAAGGTGCCAACTTTATACCGGTTTAATATCTGGGAAATCAAAAGGATTTCAAACCAATTAGCAATTTTAAGAGACTAAATGCTAACAAATACCCAAGTTATCAGAACTCACCGCCATTGGGACTGAGTCAGATTGATCCATAATCACCACGAAAGCAGCAAGCACATATAAATTTTAAAACAAATTATGTGAAGAAAGATAAAAATTAATTTAAAAATTGTTGAACAGGCTTACCAAATCTCTGAGACTGAGACACTGATCAATTAGAGTGTGAGGGAGGGGATTGAGAAGATCGGCTGACTTGGTTCGGAAGGGTTAGGCGAGGGACTGAAAGTGAGGCATCGCGGCGGAGAGAGAGAGAGAGAGAGAGAGAGAGAGAGAGAGCCTGAGATGCTTGACTGAGGAAGAGGATTCGGTTGAGTTATGTTAGACCGAAAAACAAAAACAAAAAGATTCGAACGTGAGAGAGACATGAGTTCAGTCCGAGTCCGACTCGGACTCGTTTTGGGTTTACAATCAAAAGCGGAAAGTACGGTAGAATTATGGCTTAAAATAGGGAACCTACGGGATAACTGAGGTGTGCTTCCCTCCTAAAATAAATAAATTTTTTTTTGTTTTTTTTCAGGTGTTGACATATTAGGACAAATATGAGCCCTTCGCTGATAGAGACAATTAAAATGTAGCATGATATTATATTTTATAAAATTATTTACTAGATGGCTAAATATAGACCTCACCACCTGCAAATAACCTAAACATAATCCACCTATAAAATTTAGCCCACCATTTATAGTTTTTTAAGGAATAGTATTGGGCTATATTTTTACCGTTGTCGAGTAGTGGAGGGCTAAATCATAACCCCCTTAATATTTTATTAATTTTTAGAATATTCTTTAAATGTATTGAATAATTTAATTAAAATACTATCTTAGACCTTATTTAAAAATTATTTTAGAAGAGAAAAATATTTTTTGATAGAATTTTAAAAAAGAAAAATATTTTCAAATATGATATCATTAATTTAAAAGCAACAACAGCCCACCCAAAAAATCAAAACATTAATTTTAAAACAACAACACAATAATTTTAAAAATAATGAAATAAGATGGCATGTAACCCACCCAGGAACCGAGCCATCGCGCAACCTTGAAATCAAGATGACGTTCGCGGATCCCTGAACTAGCTATTGCTATAGTAGAGGAATATGAAGTGACGTCCCTGTGCCATATGTACTTGATTGTTGGAGAGGGAGGCACGGGTCAACGTTGTTACCAACTAAGATTTTGCCTCTTTCGGGCTTCCCTCTTTCTTCATGATGTTTTTTCGGTTTCAACGCCTGTTTAAAAACATGGAAAAAACAGAACTTTTTTCCTCTTCCTTTCTAGATGGCAGAGGGAGCTACTTTAATGGAATTTCTTTATTTATGGGGTGCAGATGATCACTTCCCCACTCATTCCCTTTATGTAATTGTTGTGCCTAGTCTTGCCGCATTCGAGAGTTTAGAAGTTGAGATTGAATCACACATTTGGCCCTTTCGGCTTGCTGACTGGATTTGGCCTACTTACATGACACATATAGCCCATTTGTTGGAGATGAGTTTTGAGTGTGAAATGGCTAAATGTGAGGGCATTGTTGGAGATGACCTCAGTCGTCTTATCACATCTCTTCTCCCTCTCCTTTGTTTGATTTTTCTGCTACCTTGCGAACCATCTGTTACTCATCAATAGGGGTAGGCGTGATCCATTTGGTCTGGTTTTCACCTCACACTGGAACCGAAATCAATATTGTTCAACCGGTTCAATTCGGTAAAGTTTTGGTGAAAAAAATTATGAAATTGGAGTTCCGGTTTTGGATCAGATTTTTTATATTATATATATTTCAATTTTTTTTTTTTACAAATTCCAACTTAAATTTAATTTCTTGTGCTTAAAAAAATCACAAATGACCCAATTTCATGTAACGATAGATGATTGGGCCTAGAAAAGATAGGTGCTTTGAAGTTGGGCTTAAGGAAATATTAATTATAGGATTAGAAATTTACCATTAGACATAAATAATTTATATTTAAAGATTTTTAAAAAAATCCGATATAGTCTAGTCTAGTCTGATTTTGTAAGGTGTGAAACTGACACCGAAATCAGTTTGAACCGGTCCGATCCGATTTGGTGTAGGTTTGTTGGCCTTTTCAATCAACACGATTTTTTCTGTCCGATGCAATTTGGTGTTCTGATTTTCCGCTCTCAATGCCCACCCCTACTCATCAGTCCCTCCCCCCAACACCCCACCCCGCCCCTCCCTCCTCCCTCCTCCCTCCTAGATCCATGCAACTTCCTACACCTTAATTCTTTTAAGATCCATTTGATTAGTTGAATACTTGACATCTTCACTAGATCAAAAGATTCTTAAACATTTCTAGTGAGAAAACTTCCACAACTTGAAAATAGGAAGAATCGCACGCACTCATAAACAAAAGATTCATCCATTTTCGAAGCTTTGGCGGTAATTGCAACGAAGAACCCACCAATTTACCAAGAAGTGCAAAAAGGCCCAATCTGCACATTCCCTCCAATTTATGAATGTGAAGTCAAATGTCTACAAGTAATAACACGTACAATTTTGTTTTTAGTAAATGTTGACTTGATTTCTACATAACAACTTCTCGAAGCCCTAGTATTGCCCCTAGTTGATCTCAAAGAATTTGTTCAAAATGCATCTCTGTAAACATCCAGACAAACATCCTGTGAAACATCATGATATCCCCAACAATTTGATACCCATCTTTATAATTGACGGGTGCACTTCTAAAGATTTTTTATATTATAAAAAAATATATATATGGGATTAAGTGAGAGTTGCATATTTGGGTCGAATACATACAGGGCGGATTCCGACTTTTAGGTGACTCTAGGCAATAGACTAAATGAGGTCCATTCTCTTAATATACAATTGCAAAAAGAAAAAATAAAATAAAATAAAATGATTTTACGTCTCTCGTAGCGCGCGTGAATAAACAAGGTAATATGCATATGGGAGGACATAAAAAATAAAAAATAAAATCGGATTAGATATTTAATATCATGAAGGAAATTACAAATTTACCAACCAACGTTCCAGCAACAACGTTCCAGCAATCATTAGAAGCCAAGGAAAGAGTTTGTTGTTTGCTTCTATGGGTGTGTGCTGGAGTGTGTAAAGCATGGGTGGGTCTCTCTGTGTTTTAGTTCCTATTGGAAATTGAAAAAAATAGTTTGCTGGATATGAACAAAATATAAAGAAAAATTCATAAATCTCAAAGACAAAGATCAAAAAAGAAAAAGTGTGAGCTTTTCAGTGAGAGATCGATTCTTAGGGTTACAATATGAAAAAAGAGGGATGAGAGAACTGAAAATAATGGATGGATTGAAGAGAGATTGGGAAAACAGAGAATAATATGGTGCTAGATTAAATACAGAGTATGTTCTTCCATGGAGAAACTAGGAGTAGGCGCAGTTGTGTTGGAAAAGAGGAAGCGTGTTGGGGTTTCTACTAGGAAGAGGAATCGTGTTTCCTCATTTAATTTCATCGTGTGTGTGTGTGTTTTTTTTATTATAAATAAATAAAAAATTGAACGCTGGTAAATATATATATAAAATTTGGGCCCCCTTTCTTGGAGGCCCATGGCCATGGCCCTTCCCGCCGCTCACCCCCAAAGTCGGCCTTGCTAATATATATCAGAGGACTTTAATCCTTAAATTGAATAAAATTGTATGAACTCTATATACTAAAAACATTGAGACATATTAGGTGAAGATTCAAATAGCCAAGACATCAAATGCCATGTTAAATTAAAGGAAGGATAATATGAGTCTCTAATTATATCCAAGCAGCTTTAGGAAAGAAGTAGAAATGCATGTTTGTAAAATATAACCACATACATCGATTTTGCCTTGTTGATATATTAATTTCAAAGTTTCGTCTTATGCTACTTTTCGGAAGTTTCAAAATTTAACCTTGTTTGTTTTCTGTTGTACTTTTCATTCTTCAGAATTGTTAATGGAACCAAAAGAAGATGAACAAAATCACCAAAAGTGCCCATATAAGGACCTACACATAGTTTTATTAGGGCTGGACTTGGTTTGGTTTAGTTTGGTTCGATTTTGAATCCAAATTATGTGTCGAACCGAAAAACCCGGTTTACTGAAAATCCAAACAAGTACCGAACAATAGGGTGGGGAAACCGGTCATCTCGATTAAACGATTATCTCAATTTGGTTTGGTTTGGTGCACCGAAAACCTGCTTTTGTATCCTCCCAAACTCAAACATTCATTCAAAACCTCAAAAAAGAAAAAGAAAAAAGAATCTATTAACTCATATGCATACAGTTTCCTGAAAAAAAAAAAAAAAAATCAAACTTGAGTCTAATCTGCACAAATTTGTACATTGATCTAATGGGAGTATGCTTAAAAATACTTTTATTTTCTATATTGGGACAAAACAGAGGTGTGAGTTTCTGGGTTGGATTTTGCATTTTTGAATATTTGATTATATTTTGTTGGCAACGATTACATCATAATGGTTGCTAGTTGCAAGCTGATAGGTAATGAGACAACTTGTATTAGAGGATTATATCATGGACCAATAACAACTTTTAAGAAATTAACCCAAAACACCTATCATATTTTTCCACCTTGGACCAAAAAAAGAGTCATATTTTTCCACCCACTAATTAACCCAAAACACTTATAAAAGTCACATTTTCAACAAGATTACACTGACCAAAGTTACAGCAGCTTATAGCCACTGCTCTGCATCACAAACCCAACCTGCTTACAAGCACTAAGCATTCTATCAATTTAAAACTTTCAAAACATCAACAATTCATCAAACAATTCTAATTTCCAGCATATCAAACCTGCAATGACTCATCTAAGTTCACTAATTTCCAACACAATAAACATTCACCAAGCATATCCAGCATATTCACAATTCAGCAAGCAGGAAACAGAAAATCAATTAGAGTGTGAGAGTATTAAAGCATGGAACAGCATAAATAAAGGCAAAATCTATAAGAGAGATCATGAAACAACAGAAAATAATCATTGACAACAAATATCAGCAATTTTATGAGCCTAATGCTAACAGATACCCCAAGTTATCAGAACTCACCACCAAGTTGTATACACCCTTTTCCCCCTCATTCTTCTCCAAGTTCTTTCCTTCACTACGTCTGCATCAGTTGCGATCGTACTTCTAATGGAAGAAGCAGACCAGAAAAACAAACAAATTAAAAATAAATAAATAAATAAAACATGAAAAGAGTAAAGACAGGAATTTTACTGGTTGATCATCTCTCTTTAATTTCATGGTTTCATCACATTGTTAAATTTAACTTACATAAACAATAATCAAAAGAAAACAAGGATAACAACAATAAAACCAACCAGCACGCACCATATACAAGAGAAAGAACAAAGTATGGAAATTTTCTACAAGTTAGATACGGAGAAATAAAAAGGATGTAACTTTTAAACCATTTAGAAATCAAAAGGATGCAGCCTTCAAACCAATTAGATATCCAAGATATACAGAATGTGCAATTTGTAGGTTATCTAAGTTCACTGATTTCCAACGCATTAAAGATTCAGCAAGCATAGCCAGCGTATTCATTTTTGACAATTCAGTGAGCATGAAACAGAAAATTAATTAGAGTATGGGAGAAAATTAAAGCAGAAAGAGGAGAAATAAGACAGTCTATAAGAGAGATCTTCTTGTACCCTGTCATCAGTGCCCATATCCTCCCCTTCAATTTCAATCATCAACTCCAATCTGTCTGATGGCTCGATTGCGCAGGCGAACAAGGTAAAGCGAGATCGGTGCCGCAAAATCAACAATGATATCGCCATTACGGTTACTTGTCACTTGGATCTGGAAGCTGCGATTTCTCTCAAGAAATCGAAGTTCTTCGGATCGAACCAAAAACCGTTTTGGATTCCAATCCCCCTTCGATTTCTGGAGAGAAATCGCAGCTTCCATATCCAAGTGACAAGTAATCGTAATGGCGATATCATTATCGATTTCACAGCACCGATCTTGCTTTCCGTTGTTCGCCTAGAGCAATCGAGCCATCAGACATGAGATAAGCTCGTCGACTCTCATCAATTCTAGAACTCCGGTTTCCATTTGAGACAAATTGGAGCAAGTACAGAGACGTTGAGAGAATTTGAGATACAGTAGGAAAATAGTGAAAAATTGGGAAAGACAGAGAGATTTAGTAGTGAAAGATCGGGAAAAGATATAGAATTTGAGATCAGAAACCCTAGCGCTTATCCATGGAGAAAGGAGGAAGGAGAAAGATGAGAGATGAGTCATTCTGATCGATTTTCAAGAGAGGGGTTTGTTGCGTTTGGGATGAAAGATTGGGAAAATGGGTTAGTTTTTTTTTTTTTGGTCAAGGGAAACTCTATTCATTAATAATGGGAAACATTACAAAATGAGAAAAACTCATTCCAAATGCAGCCCAAAACCAACAAATACAGCAGGCCCAAAGATACAAAACCAAAAAAGCAACAAAGCCCAGAAAACTTTAAACAAAAAACCCTAGATTTAGAACACAAGAGCAGCCGCCACCCAAAGCAAGCCAACACCACCACCAGCAGATCCACCACCACCAAGGAGAAGTAAACGATACCAAGGGGTACCAAAGAGGCCGACGGAAGATGGGGTGAGCAAGCCACCCGCGCGGAAGCGCTCCCATAATCCAAGAGGCAAGTGCAGCCACGAACCACCACGGGAGCGGCGGACGCGAAACCGAAGAGCAAAAGGTGGTGGTTGAAAACTGGCGACGAGACGAAGTCGCTGGCCAAGGGTGAGCGTCATCACAACAAAGGAGAGGCGAGGATAGTGGAGATGGAAGAAATGGAGGGTGGACAGTGAAGGTGGTTGGGGAAGAAAAGAGAGGGAGAGAATGAGGAGATAGGGTCTCATAGAGGGGGCTTAACTTAGGGAAAAACAGAAAAAAACTAAAGGAAACCGAAGTGGAGGCAAGGAGCCCCAGATCTGAGACAGAGCTCAGGGGAAAAACACCCATAACGGGTGGGAAGAAGCCAAAGACTCTCAAAATAGAGGAGGAGGAAGAGAGCTCTCACTAGAGAGCTGTCCTTTTGTTCTGGTTTGTCACGTTTCCTGAAAAAAATGGGTTAGTTTAGGCAGTTCAAAATTTGAACACGCCCAAAGAGCTTTCCGTTCTCTCTTTTTTCTTTTTCTTTTTATTTATTTATTTATTTATTTTTAAATATATATCTAGCCTGCCAGCAATTTTCTTCATGGCATAAAAATTGTTGTATCAAAAAATAAAAAAGGCAAAAAGTCATTTTTGATCCCTGTAGTTTCTCACTTTTACCACTTTGGTCCCTGTCGTTTCAATTTGGTCAATTTTGTCCTTGTAATTTCAATTTGAAGCAATTCAAGAACAATCCTCAATTTCTGTCAAATTTTTGTAACTTCTGGTAATTATGGAAGGGTAATTTTGTCCAAAAATTATTAAAAAATTTATTCATTTTTTAAAATTAATCCCCACCCAACCCTAGTCAGCCACGACCTCCTTGTCACCCAACCACGACCCTAACCATCCAAGCCCACCCAAACTCTAAACCCCAAAAAAGAAAAAATCCAGATGAGAGGAGGGTTCAGATCAAGCATGAAGGAGGTGATCATAAGGATGAGGATGGCGTCTCCCTTTTTTTCTTCCTCTCTCTCTCTCTAAAAATAAAAATAAAAATCCAAACGATGGATTCAACCAATTTCTGTCACCAACGATCATCATCATCGGATCGATTGCTCAGCTTCTTCTCATTCTTGCCACCTTCCTCCACCGCCACCATTGCTTTTTCTTCCTCTCTCTCTCAAAAAAAAAAAAAAAAAATCCAAACGATGGATTCAACCTATTTCTGTCACCAACGATCGCCATCGTTGGATCGGTTGCTCAGCTTCTTCTCATTTCTCGCCACCCTCCTCCGCCGCCACTGAGGAGGAGCTCAATAAGGCCAAGATCTTCGTCGTCGTTAAGGCCCATCCCTTCGATTTCGAGATCTTCACAGTCGCATCCCATGCGGACTTCGAGAAAGTTCGAGAGCTTGGCTTTGATGAAGGTTCCCATGCTGTCTCATGCGGTAGAGAAGCATTAGAGAAACGAAGACCTTGCTGATGTCGTTAATGATGGAGATGACGAGATGTTGCCGCTGCATGAGCTGGTGGGAAAAAGAAGAAGAATCCATGAGCTCCAAGAGGTCGTCGGGATCCAGCCACATCGTCAAATTTGGAAAGAGGGAGGTTGGCTGAGGATGGGAATAGGGTAGGCGCAATGTGGGGCTGGGTTTTGTGTTTTCCGTGCAAAGGGGTGGGGCTGGACTTATGGGTGGGAATAGGTGTCGGGTTTGGAGGGAGATGGGTTGGGAGTGGATATTTGTGAGGGCATTTTCCCTTCTGTTTGGTCGGAGAAGAAAGTTTACGGATGGTGGGCGATGTCTAGGTGCTAGTCGATGGACAATAGTTTTTGGCGATGGCTAGGTGGTGGTCTGTGGACGATGGTTTTTGGGGATGGTTGGGTTGGGGTGACGGTGAAGGGGTGGGGCTGGGAGGGGATGGGAGGAAATTTTTATATATTTGATTTTAATTTTTTAAAAATATTTTTAAAGAAAAGAATAATTTGTGGACAGAACTGCCCCTCTATAATTAACAGAAGTTGCAAAAATTTGATAGAAATTGAGGATTGTCCTTGAATTGCTTCAAATGAAACTACAGGGACAAAATTGACCAAATTAAAACGATAGGGATCAAAGTGGTAAAAGTGGAAAATTACAGGGACCAAAAGTGACTTTTTACCATTAGTTTATAGAAGTATAATTGAACTGCTAGATTTGATAAGGTCCCATAGGTTAATAGTGTTTTCACCATGTTTCCCTCTGTAGCAGTTCAAGTATTTTATTTATGTAAAACAAATAAGACATTTTCAATAGCGATTTTGTTAAACCCGGAACACTTAGGCTGATGAATAGAAGGAATTTGAAATCACAATTCAAATCAAATGTACATAATTTTTAGAGGAACATACAATTCCATGGAGTGCAAAATAATCGAAATTCAACATTCTAATTAGAGTATGAACAGTGAAAAAACTTTGATCTAAGCCAATTAAACAATTTAACAACACTATAAAACCAATTTTTTTTAAGGGGAAAAAAAAATCGATGATGGTTCCTTTAAGCACTCTACTAAGTACAGTGCTTGTCAAGCGAGCCTTGTTCCGTTAATTTATGATGAATAAATTTGATATACATTGTTGGCTCATTACGTGCTAGATTAAGTTTTTAAGGCGTAAGTGTTGTCTAAGTTTTATTATCATTCCGTACTTTCTTTGTTGGTTTGCGTATAGGACGCGGTTATATATGTATGTTTTGTTTCTCTCTACCTATCAGTCCGATTAGGTCTTCTTTGCGTGAGGAGATAATGTAAACTTGATATACATTGTTGTTTCATTCTTTGTCAAGGTGCATTTGAAGCTTGGTGGTTGTCTTGACCCCTGTTGACTTCGAGTATCATCACAGCTAAAACCCAATTAGGCTAACTTCCTAACAAAGTCAAATGGCTGCTACCATTTAATTTAATATCAAAACTTTCAGTTCCAAACCAGACGTCAATAACCCACATTGCCAATTACTATATAAAGCTCCATGACAATGGAATGTTCATTGGTAAGCAGAGGATTAATTAAAGCTTAATCAAACAGAGACACACACAGAGCAAGCAGAGTTATGAAAAATGGGTCTGATCAAGAGAGTACTGTTTCGGCATGGCAGAACTCGGATTAATCAAAAGACCAATCTGATCACAAGCAATGCATTAACGGAGGCCATTGCAAAAGTAAATGGGGTTGTGAGAATGAAGATTTGGTTAGAAGGCAAGATTTAAAACAAGTTCTTGAGCTCATGAATTGCGGAATTAACAACCAAGCGTCAGTTGTTAGGCCATCATCTTTGTGTGTGGAGCAGGGGCTAAGTGTTTTGAGAAAGAAGCATCTTCTAAGAGCCAGTTTGGCGGCCAAGCACAGCCGCCAGAGTTCATGGTGCCCTGCACTGCAAAGAATCCGTGAAGAAATTTAATTAAGCTTGATTATGTTCGACTAAATATGTTAACATCTCATTTTGATTACTGTAATTTTTTTTAGCTTGCTTAGCTTTCATGTCACATCCAAATGAGAATTGTAAAGAGAGGATTTCTATTCACATATGGGATTTCTATTCCCATTCCCTCCAATTTATGAATGTGAAGTCAAATGTCTACAAGTAATAACAGATACAATTTTGTTCTTAGAGGACTTGATTTCTACCTAACAACTTCTCGAAGCCCTAGTATTGCCCCCAGTTGATCTCAAAGAATTTGTTCAAAATGCATCTCCGTAAACATCCAGACATATGAAAGGTATGCAAGGAACATCCTGTGAAAAATCATGCTATCCCCAACAATTTGATACCCACCTTTATAATTGATGGGTGCACTTCTAAGGTTGAATTTTTTATATATAAAAAATATGGAATTAAAACAAATTTTGGAAGAATCTCGACAAACAAAACCTCCATGTTTAGATGCACAGTCGATTTATCAAAATTAAGCTTCATTCTTCCTTTTTAGAGGGAAATTTCATTGTAACCTGTGAATATCCCTTTTTGTTCCAAATCCGTTCTAGTTACTAAATTATAGGGAGGGAGATTTCTCTCACATATGCACAACTATGATGCCGTGGAAATTCGAACCTAAGACCTCTGGTCTGCAAGTCAGTCCTTTATGGTGCTCTTTACAGGTTTCTGCAATGCATTTTCTCTCATTGTTGGAGGCTGTCACATCAGTTGGTCTTAACCACTATCATCGGCTCCTTGACTCCGTGTATATTTCTTCCGTTGTCTAAGTGTAGCTTGGTTGACTTGCTCACCACCATTTTCTATTGGTTACTGGTTTCTCTTTGGTGGCTGTCGACTTGCTATGGTGGCGCGGCTTGTAGTTGTAGGATTGTGCAACACATACCTGTTAACGGTGTTAGGTTTTCCTAATTGTGTTTTGTGGGCTTTTGCCTTGTGTGGGCTTTTTGCCGTTATGTAGGCACTTGGCCTCTGTGTGGGCTTTATGCCTTTATGCATGCTTTATGCACTTTGTTAGTTTTATTTGTAGTGAGTTTTATGTCTGTTTGTATTACATTTTGTGTGAACTTAATTATTTGAGTTCATTTTGATGTAATATGGCTTTGACATTCTATTTAATGAAACTCAATTTCGACCGAAAAAAAAAAACATTGTAAACCGACTATTTAGTTGAAAGCAAGGCCAGATGGACTACCATGTTTGGTAGAGGTCTAGTGGAAGCGCAATGCTGGCTCAATAGAGCTCCACTTGCTCTCATGCACGTTCTCAATTCTGATGGACTACCTGGTCCACCTTAGGCTGTTTTGTGTTTTGGGAGGGGTTCCTTTTGTACTAAACTGAGTTTTGGTTTAGTTTTCCACTCCTCCCTTCTTTTGTTTGTATCTCTTGTAAGTTTTGCTTTCTCTTTTTTCAAGTTGAATGAAATTAGAGTTCTTTGACCAGAAAAAAAAAAAAAGCCCTGTATTCTTCGAATTTTGGACCTCTATGCTGTTGAACCACACGATTCACCCAATTGGCATATCCACCACTTTCCAAGAATCTTAATTTTCTTTTCGGTGTACGAAGCGGTAGAGATTTCTACCAAGATCACAGTTAGCATCGAAGTTGAGAACCATAGTGGACATCCACACAAACTGCGTCGCTTTCCCAAGTTGCACTCATACTTCTAATAGAAGAATCACGTCAAAGTTTTGGAACAAATTAAGTAAAGAAAAATAAAAAATAACTTAGGGTACAAAAAACTGTTGAACATGCTTACCAAATCTTTGAGAGGATTGAAGCCTGAAACTGAGAACATAGGCTGACTATGTCCATAGGAAATATGATGCGTCTTGGATTTAGGGTTTTCTCTGGCTTCGGAAGGGTTAGCCGAGGACTGAGAGTGACTTGTAGCGAAAGGAAGAGAGACCCATCTTTCTTGTAGAATTATGTGGCCAACGAGGTCTATCAAGTGAAAAAGTATTTTGACTTATAGACTAGTGGTCTCACGTTCAAATCCCCATCTTCCTTGATTATATTTAGATGTAATTAAAAAACGTAGAATTATATGTGAAGTACTTGATAGTTGGTTCCAACTCAAAAAAATTATAATAAAAAGATTACCCTATAAAGTGCGTGTTTATTTATCGTATTACAAGGGATGTAATAAGGTTACTATCCGCAATAGATGGGTTTCTCACAATAATGTCTACTTAATCATGACATTTTATGTTTGTAACTTGGGAGGCACAACTATCATACACGCATGTGCTGCTCTGACTAATTTCTCCTCACTTAACATCTATGTCGACTTTTGGTTAGTCTGATTGTTCCGAAAGAGAGAGCTTTAAGAAAGCAAATGTTCAGAGGATAGAAGTGCCCCTGAATATAACAAATATTACAACATATGAATAATATCTAACAATAATGAGTTTGGTATTAGAAAGCAGTGCACATCATACCATAAATAAGTAGGGTGTAGCAGCCGGAAGTGTGGTTATCATTGAATTTATTTTGACTTGTAACAGATTTTATTGTCTACCTGCCCACTCATACAGATCAACATCCCTGAGTATATTATAATGTATATACATAGACATATATCCCTAGGTATAATGAACTCCAACTCAATCCCTTCAACCATTAAAAAGAAAAAAATGGCTGAAAATAGGCCGGCGGTAGAGGATGACAGAGTCCATCCTCTTTCTTCCACACCACTGTAAGTACCAAATTCTTCTTCCCAGTTGTGTTTTTCTCCTTCTAATTCTTTAATTTGAGGATTAAAAAACTTCATTACTTTCTGTCATGTATTGTGCCGTGTTTTCTTCTGCAAATGATTTTGCAGGTCAGAGCATTGGAATGTTGAGGAAGGGAAGAAGTCCAGTCCCTCCACTTTGAGTGAGAAGTTGGGATTGCACGAGCTATTTTCTTTGAAGGTTGGTATATATTATGTGTTAACATTCACATCAGTGACTTGATAAGTCGGCTAATTAGATGGTTCTTACGATGAAATCAAAATCTAAAGTACGTATATATGTCTGATGTAACTCAAAAATAAGTCAAACCTATAATTAAGTGGTGCATATCTTGTATGAATTCGAATTTTATTAGAGTCTAGCCTAGTGTGCCTATCCTACCCAAGAATTGATCCAAAGGCATATGGAAGTCATTCTACTTTCACACACACACACAGAGCTTCTATTGAGGGATTCCTCAAATTAGCTTATTTGAGGGACTCATTTGTAGGGCCTACTCCGTGATGTATTTCACTAATCCAAACCGTCTATTTTGTAAATACTAATTCAAAGATCATCTTTATAAAAAAATCACTTGAATCCAATATCATTTGACTACTCAATTGAATTATTGAAATTTTAGTACTTTCTTGAAGTACTGTGTTCATTAATTTTGTAGAACACAATTGGATATCAAAACGGTTTTTGATTTGTCTAATTTTTTGTAAAGATGATATATGAATGTAGACTTTGACGGTTTCGATCATTGAATTTTTTGTACTTGAAGATTGATTAATTGTAATTAATTACAGGTTTGGAGAGCATCTCTAGCAGAGCTAGTTGGCTCGGCAGTGCTTGTTTTCGCTATAGACACAATAGTGATCTCCTCATATGAGACTAAAACCACAACACCAAACCTTGTCATGGCGATCCTCATTTCCATCACAGTTGCAATTCTCCTCCTTGCCACCAATCCCATCTCCGGCGGCCACATCAATCCTGTTGTCACCTTATCCGCAGCATTCGTTGGCCTCATATCCCTCTCACGTGCCGCTGTCTACATCTTGAGCCAGTGCACGGGAGCGATACTAGGTGCACTAGCCCTGAAGGCTGTCGTAAACAGCAGCATTGAAGAAACGTTCTCACTTGGAGGTTGCACTCTCACTGTCATTGCCCCAGGCCCACATGGGCCAATCATTATGGGCATTGAGACCACCCAAGCCCTTTGGCTTGAGATCATATGCACTTTTGTGTTTCTCTTTGCTTCGATTTGGATGGCATTTGACCATCGCCAAGCCCATGCTGTGGGCCGAGTTGTAGTCTTCTCTATCGTTGGAACAGTTGCGGGCCTCCTTGTGTTTATCTCAACCACCGTTACAGCTGTAAAGGGCTATGCCGGGGTTGGAATGAACCCCGCTCGATGCTTGGGCCCCGCACTGATTCGCCGGGGGCACCTTTGGAATGGGCATTGGGTGTTTTGGGTCGGGCCCATTATTGCTTGCGTAGCGTTTTATTTGTACACAAAGATCATTCCACGTCAACATTTTCACATGGATGGCCACACGCATGATACAGTCAATATCGTAAAGACTTCCCAAGTAGAAAAGGATTTGAGTAATTTTTCGGTGTGACAAATTTGACAAGTGGTGTTATATTCAATCCACTTATTTATAATACATGGATCTACTTTATGAAAACTATACCCTAGATTCATGAAATATCAGCTATGTCGTTCACATGAATTGGTAATACCATGTAACAATATCATTGTTTCATTATAAATATATATTTGTTGTAACTATTGAAAATATATATATGGAGAGTCTGTGTGTATTAAACTAGAGAGTATGAGCCTTGGTTAATATCAAATATAGCCGTTGGTTTCCTCTGAATTGGTGGATGGTGTTTTCTAAGAGAAAATGCTAGCTTATCAACTGCTTGATTGGCACGAATCATGCACAGGAGATATCAACAACTCAGAATTACCCACTTTAAACGAATCAAATACCATTCAACGGTTTAGAGAGAAGAACTCATTTAATTGGACTGAAAAGCAAAAGTGTGATGTGATGTTGGCATTGGTTTAGCCAAAATGCCTCTTTGTTTCATGAATTAAACCCTCACGAAATTGACCAACAAAAAAAAAAAAAAAAAAAACCCTCACGGACTTTTTTATTTATAAAAATAAAATAAAAAAACATTTCAACATAATTTGACTGGTGCAAAACAAAGATTGTCATCATCCCAACTTGCAAATTCTAGCTTTGTCCAGTCGTTGTATATAGAGTTTTATTTGGCTATAATTTCCATTGTTCTATTCTAAGCCCAGCATCTTCCTTTATGCAGAGTGAATATGCCTGCAATTATAAAGCGTAGCATCATCCTTATAGTTTTCGACTTCCACGTCTAATTAACTTACATATAAAACCATATGGTCACTGCCTGCCTTCTTGGAAGAGCAAAAACCAATGCTTTTTTTGGCAACTTCTCCAGCTCACAAGCTCTCAATTCTTTTTGGATGAGTGCTAAAAACCAATGATTGGCAACTTTTATAACTCATGTAATGGTGTATCATTCTGCCATGAAATTTTTTGTCTCAATTTGTGTTGCAGTAACCAATTAGAAATTTAGAACTCACAAAAAGAAGGGGGTTCTTTAAATAGAAACCCTTCAACCCTTTTCTTGTCATCAATTGTTTGAGGCAATGGAGGGTTTGGTCATGACCCCAAATGAAGCTGATGAAAAATTGCCCAAATCAGCTGGCAGAAGTTGTGAGTCACTTGGTGTCGAAAACTCGCTGAGGCTAAAATTTCTTACTGCAATTGGTGCCCATGAATATTTTTCACCAGAGGTAAGCTTCAAATGGTATCCAACATAATGTCTTGTCTACCAAGTATTCTATTCTCATCATAAAATTTCATTTTTCTCCATTTTGTCGGAGAAACTCATGCGTTAAAATCTCATAGATGACAATTGTTGAATTAAAAAAAGGGTCAATATAGTTACAATTTTCTCACTATTGGGTTCTGTTTTCAGATGTGGAGAGCAGCTTTTACAGAATTAGTAGCAACAGCTTCTCTTCTGTTCACCCTGACCTCTTCAATCATCTCATGCTTGGAATCAGGAGAGGTTGATCCAAAGCTGCTTGTCCCAATTGCAGTCTTCATCATAGCCTTCCTCTTCCTCCTAGTCACAGTCCCTTTATCTGGAGGGCACATGAGCCCTGTCTTCACATTCATAGCTGCCTTCAAGGGTGTTATAACTTTTGTTAGGGCCTCCACCTACATTTTGGCACAATGCATTGGCTCAATCTTGGGATTTCTTATAATCAAGACTGTGATGGATCAAAATGCAGCACAAAAATACTCCTTAGGTGGCTGCACAATCAAGGGAAGTGGGTCCACATCTGGGGTGGGGACACAAACAGCATTGATGGTAGAATTTGCCTGCACATTTGTGGTTCTCTTTGTCGGGGTCACAGTGGCATTTGACAAGAGAAGGTGCAAAGAGTTAGGTTTGGCCATGGTGTGTGCTGTGGTGGCTGGGGCTATGGCACTCGCAGTTTTTGTGTCAATTACTGTGACCGGGCGGGTTGGGTATGCGGGCGTGGGTCTGAACCCGGCGAGGTGCTTAGGCCCGGCGTTGTTGCTAGGGGGGAGGTTGTGGGATGGCCATTGGGTTTTCTGGGTTGGACCAATCTTGGCTTGTAGTGTGTACTATTGTGTCTCTTTAAACTTGCCCAATGAGGGTTTAAAATCTGTGGAAGAAGAGTGTGACATTCTGAAGGGAGAGGGCATTGTATGAGATCTTGATCTGCAATGCATTTAAACATGTAAAATGTTCTACCCTGAGCTCTAGCTTAAGTGGTATTTTGATCAGTTGGAAATGTAGTAGATTACAGGTTCGAATTCTAGCGTTTGTGAACCACAGTTGCTATCTAGATAGAATCATTCTTAAATGTGTGGTCTTCATTGATAGTCTAACAATATAATATGTATGATTCTCGAAATATATATGGACACATATTTACATATATGCATAGTGATCTAGCATGAGGATCTTAATCTAAACTGTTTATAATTTAGCAATGTTTTAAAGTAAGAAAAAAAATCCATTTAGCAATATCTAAAAACGTTATAAATAAAAATTTTAAAAATAAAAAAAAAGCGCATCAGGCAGCCAACAACCTATTCCCTCTGATGGGAGAATGTAGAAACAAAGCAGTACACTATAGACTAGGAGAAGTTCTTGTTAGGTGGGAGAATGCATTGGCTCGATTCTGGGTTTTCTCCTCATTCACACCCTCATGAGCCATGATTTAGAGCAGAAGTTCTTGTTAGGTGGCTGCACTCTCAATGGCAATGGAGAGACACATGGGATAAGCCCACGAGATGCTTTTCTATTGGAGTTTGTGTGCACATTTCTGCTGCTCTTTGTGGGCATAACAGTGGCTTTTGACAAGAAAAGAAGAAAGGAAGTTGGCCATGCCCTGGGTTTGCTTCATGTTGTCAGCACCAATGGGGCTAGGAGTTTTCATTTCAATAACAATCACAGGGACGGCTGGCTATTCTGGCGTTGGTCTCAACCCAGCAAGGTGTTTAAGCCCTGCGTTGGTAAGAGGAGGTTCATTGTGGCATGGGCATTGGGTTTTCTGGTTTGCACCCATTTTGGCTTGTGTAATATACTATCTTGTCTTTAAGTCCAACGAAGGGTTTGGTGGTGCTGGAAGGAGAACACGACATTCTGAGCATAGGCGAGGCCTGCTTCAAAGTGTTAGAATTCTTAGTTTTGTATATGTATTTTCAGATTAGGAAGAGATGTATTTTTTGGAGATTTCAGCTAGAGAGAATGAAGAGAAATGAGGAAGGCACTGTTCTATTGAATTCTTACAATCTTCCGCTTACATAGTGTGACTGACGTAGAGAGAAATGTGATTCTCTTCTAACAGAATTACAACTGTCACCCTATTAGGTGCTTACACGTGTCATACCAAATCTAAGCTAGAGAATCCAC